TACATGTATGTATACTATATATGTATATAAATATATAAGCACATAGATAAATTGAATAGCTTCTTATTGGCCACATTTTTGTTTTAATCGTACCACTACATAAATCGTAGACTAAACATTTACGTAAATACATACGGTTTGTAGTTGCACATTTGCAAATACATAAATTTTTATTGAAGTATTTAATTCGAAGCTTGAGCTAAGTAATAATTTAGTTATTATTTCACGTTTAAGTGGCAATAAGCGCACAGGAGTAAAATAAAAAATAAATTGATAACGAATAGCGAAAGGAGCAGTGCCAATAAATAAAACTTAAAATCGACGAAGTCAAAGCTGGTCAAAATAAACTAATTTGAAACTTTATGGTTCAGTCTCCGTTTACTATTTTCCAACAGAAGACGATGACGAGGATGGTCCTACGTTTAAGGATAAGGCTCTTGAGGCCATACTTAGAGGGATTGACATATTTTGTGTGTGGGATTGTTGCTGGGTATGGTTGAAATTTCAAGAATGGGTGTCACTAATTGTTTTTGATCCGTTCGTTGAGCTTTTTATTACGTTGTGTATTGTTGTGAACACAATGTTTATGGCAATGGACCACCACGATATGAACAAGGAAATGGAGAAAATATTAAAAAGCGGCAATTATGTAAGTTTTTTTTATATGTAATTTATCATTTATTTATTTAATTTAAATATTTCAGTTCTTCACTGCGACTTTTGCCATCGAAGCCACAATGAAACTGATGGCCATGAGTCCGAAATATTACTTTCAGGAGGGCTGGAATATATTCGATTTCATTATTGTTGCACTTTCACTTCTTGAACTAGGTCTGGAAGGAGTTCAAGGCCTTTCCGTTTTGAGATCATTTCGATTGGTGAGTCTGCGCATTGATAAATATATCATCCGTTTAGCCAATAAAATACTTTATTGAGATTACTTCGGAATTAATACCTACTAAGTATGTACCTAGATATTGCATTTTTATCTTAGTGTTTGACACTGTGACATCTTCTATGAGTCTGAAAGAAACAAAGCAATAACGAGTTTTTAATTATCATATATATCCACATCATAATGTGCTCCCTAATTTGCAGTTGCGCGTTTTTAAATTAGCTAAATCGTGGCCAACGTTAAACTTGCTTATATCCATCATGGGCCGTACGGTTGGTGCCCTAGGCAACTTAACGTTCGTATTATGTATCATTATCTTCATATTCGCCGTAATGGGAATGCAATTATTTGGCAAAAACTATACAGGTATTAGGAGCGCGAATAATTTATCAGAAATTTTCTGAAAAAGTGAAAGCAACCGCAATAGTTTGAATTTTTAATTGCAGTTTTTATATTACAAATATTGCATTTAAAACACCTTTCTGCTACTTTTCTTTCATTATTTATGCATATGTACATACTCGTATTTACATTGTGTACATCAAATAAATATTTCTCAATCCACTTTTTACTTAATACAAAGTTAAAAGCAAATACGAAATAATCCATGAATTTAAGAATGTCCTCAGAAATAATGTATGAGCCAGAATTTTAACATTTAAGCATTAAGCACGTTTTTTTATTTGAGCTTAAATAAAAGATTTTTAATTTCAAACAAATTAATTGAAACAATGATGGCTGCAAAAGCCCTTAAATATGTACATACTATATATCACGCCCCAAGCAAGCAAAGCTATACAAAGCCAAAGTAAAAATACCGAAAGCTATTTAAAACTTATATGTTTACATATAAGTACATATGTACATTATATCAAGTATTTGCATAATTTAAAACTAATTTATTTAAACACTTGCTAATTTTAATAGATATCAGTAACTTAAGCATTTCTTAACTCTTTNATGAAACTGATGGCCATGAGTCCGAAATATTACTTTCAGGAGGGCTGGAATATATTCGATTTCATTATTGTTGCACTTTCACTTCTTGAACTAGGTCTGGAAGGAGTTCAAGGCCTTTCCGTTTTGAGATCATTTCGATTGGTGAGTCTGCGCATTGATAAATATATCATCCGTTTAGCCAATAAAATACTTTATTGAGATTACTTCGGAATTAATACCTACTAAGTATGTACCTAGATATTGCATTTTTATCTTAGTGTTTGACACTGTGACATCTTCTATGAGTCTGAAAGAAACAAAGCAATAACGAGTTTTTAATTATCATATATATCCACATCATAATGTGCTCCCTAATTTGCAGTTGCGCGTTTTTAAATTAGCTAAATCGTGGCCAACGTTAAACTTGCTTATATCCATCATGGGCCGTACGGTTGGTGCCCTAGGCAACTTAACGTTCGTATTATGTATCATTATCTTCATATTCGCCGTAATGGGAATGCAATTATTTGGCAAAAACTATACAGGTATTAGGAGCGCGAATAATTTATCAGAAATTTTCTGAAAAAGTGAAAGCAACCGCAATAGTTTGAATTTTTAATTGCAGTTTTTATATTACAAATATTGCATTTAAAACACCTTTCTGCTACTTTTCTTTCATTATTTATGCATATGTACATACTCGTATTTACATTGTGTACATCAAATAAATATTTCTCAATCCACTTTTTACTTAATACAAAGTTAAAAGCAAATACGAAATAATCCATGAATTTAAGAATGTCCTCAGAAATAATGTATGAGCCAGATTTTTAACATTTAAGCATTAAGCACGTTTTTTTATTTGAGCTTAAATAAAAGATTTTTAATTTCAAACAAATTAATTGAAACAATGATGGCTGCAAAAGCCCTTAAATATGTACATACTATATATCACGCCCCAAGCAAGCAAAGCTATACAAAGCCAAAGTAAAAATACCGAAAGCTATTTAAAACTTATATGTTTACATATAAGTACATATGTACATTATATCAAGTATTTGCATAATTTAAAACTAATTTATTTAAACACTTGCTAATTTTAATAGATATCAGTAACTTAAGCATTTCTTAACTCTTTTCTTGACTATAATTCTGTAATATTTTTTCCTAATGCTTTGCCCGGCTTACTAACAAATTTCATGATAACCATTACCATGAAACCGCTGTGGAACATTTTGCCCCAACAATCGACAATAATTTACCAAATTGGATCATTCACAAACAATGTATAACAAAATTCGATTGTTTTTATTT